GGTGGCTGCTCCTTCCTTAAAGCTCTTTGACCTCAGAGGGGCAGGGAGTGCGCATCCTTGGAGTTTCCAGCCAACTCAGTCTTCCCCTCCGGCCTCCCCATTCTTTTTCCGCTTCTCTCCTGAACTAGATCCCAAACCTGGTCCTCTCCCCGCGCCGGGAGGCGCGCGTCCCCGTAGACAGGTCGTTGGGCGTCGGAATGAGGGGCTCGTTAGAAAAACGAATTTGTAGGCGGGGTGGGGCACGTCGGCCTCCTGGGCTGGGCTGGGAAAGGGAAGTGGGCAAAGAGCCTTGCTTAGCCTGCCGAGGAGGTTGATTTCTACTTTACTCGTTTGTTCGCTCCTTTCCTTCCTTCCGTCCTTCCGTCCGTCCTTCCTTCCTTCCTTCCTCCCTCCCTCCCTCCCTTCCTTCTTTTCTTCCTTCCTTCCCCAGCACGGCACTAATTCCTTCCCACCTGCGTTGCAGGAGCACAGCCTAGTTGCTGGCGCACCTGGGCCACTCGGGAGAGCGTCTCCCGGGGCCGGGCAGGCTGGGGGTGGGGTGCACCATTCTCCTCTCTTAGCGCGCCTTTCGGAAAGAACCCGCGGCTCGGAGCCCAGGGAAGCTCAGAGATGCCCAGGAAAGTCAGTCCATTTGGAAACATTATCTCTTGTTTTCTCAGAAGCCAGAGCTTCCACCAAGCCAGGGGAGGAGGAGGCAAGGAGGCTGGGCAAAGGGAGCGTCCCAGCTGACTTTCTGCTCCCTCTAGTTGATGATCAGATTTAATTCAATATCTAAAGCAAACATGATTATCCGTGTGACCAAATCTGCGCGTCAATAGCACTCACAACAACGCGGACAGGGAGGTGATTACACTTTATTCCCGTTGTGCTGGGGCCCCTGGGTAGGAGAGGGCGGGGGAGGCTGTCTTAATATCCCCCAAAAGGACCTTCCCATCTCCAGGTTTGTCCCCAGCAAGGCAGTTTTTATAACTGCTGAAATGTTTTCCTTTGTTCTCCACACTAGCTTGGAATGTTTAGGGTTTGGTATTGCTGTTTGTAAAGTCCAGAGAATCTTTGCCCCCCACCGCATCCTCCCTCGCACAGAAATTTGACGTCCTGGCCACTCTGGTTGCCACCGCTCAACACCCCACTGGGGCTTCCCCTCACCCCAGTGCTCGGGGAAAGGTAGTGGGGATTCAGAGCCATTTGGAGTAGGTTGCCACAGGACCTGAGGTGCACAGGAAGGCTCCAGTTGGTTTTGATAGTTCTAGGCCCCGGGCCTTCCCAGAAGCTAAGAATAATCACAAGAGCCCCCCAGGCTCTCAGGAGAAAGAGAGAGGCACAGAACACCCAAGCTTTTGCAGTTGTTCTTTCTGCAAGGGTGGAGGACACTTTGGAGTAGAGGCCAAGCCTAAAGGCCTGCAGCCTGGGTGTGCACCTACAGGCCCTGGAACTGGAGAGGTGGGCCCAGAGCCCGCCTCTCTCTGTGCACCGGTCCCATGGAGTCAATAAAAGTGCCTGCGGAGTCCTGTGTGGCCCTAACCCCAGCGCCCTAGGAGCGCACCCGGCACCAGGTCTGCTCTGGCAGTCTATCTTCGCCCAATCTACAGCGGGCTGCACAAAACGGCACAATGGGCGAGCTGGGAGCTGGAGATGTTAGAGGCGTGCATATTAAAAAGGGACAGAGAAAGGAGGGCCAGGACGCAGAGGGGAAGAGGGAGAAGGGGCTCACCCGCCCCACCCTGCACCATTCAGCGCGCTTATCTCGGGCAGTGAATCCCGGAGTCAGGCAGAAGTCTCCTTGGGGTTTTGTTGGGCCTGTCACTGGGTCCCTTTGTCATCCGCGGGCTCCATGCTGGATTCCATATGGCCAGCTGGGCTGAGGGAGCGCGAGGAGGGACCCGCACAAAACCCAAATTGTGTCCGGCTTTCAAACCCTGTATTGTTGTCTGTGAAAGGAAGACGCATTAAAAATTCGTGCTATATCTATTGGGGAGGAGGATGGAGGAGGGGAAAAAAAGCCACCCCTGTCTTTGATGGCTTCAGAGGGCACTTGCCCTGCCTAGGCCCCGTGACACACTGAAAGCTGGAGATTTCTCCCTCTTTCCCTCTCCTCTCCTCTCCTCTCTTCGCCTCTCCTCTCCACTGCTGTCTTCTCTCCTGTCCTTTCCCCTCTTTCCCTACCCTACCCACTATTGGCACCAGTGCCCCCAGGTCAGTGGTCGCCCTCTGAAGCATCCTGGGATGTGGGAGCCCTCAGCTAAGCTCTCCAACTCCACACCCTCTTTGAGGCCATCCGAGCCCTGGAGGCATCTCTAGGTGTCCTAGGCCTAGCTGATGCTCTAACCAGGGTGCATTTCCAGCCTCTGGGGAGGATGAAAATCCAGTTTCTGCAGAGGATGCACCAGAAGCCCCCAGAGACTGAGCCTCCTTTCTCTCCCATTCCCCAAGAGACTTCCAGAGGCAGAGGGCTGGCTCAGTGCAGACCCAGTTTAACTGCAGCCACAGCCAGTACCAAGGCCACATGGCCTGGCCCAGTTGTTCCATTACCAACTCCAAGGTGCCAGGAGCTACCCCTTGCTTTGCATCAGTGCAGGGACCCTACTGACATCTTAGTGGCCCCAGAAATAAGTCCAGAAACTTCCTCCTCATTGGAGGAGGGAGAGACTTCTAATGCCGTGTCCCCTGCCTGTTTGGTTTGCAGAATTCAGTAACAGGGAGACAGGCAGGGCTTCCATGGGCTTTCCCACTTCAGCCCAAAGCCCTTCTTGGTGAGGAGTCAATCTGACTTGGGCCTTGCTTTGTCCCCCATGACAGCCAGGTCAAAATTCTCATAAGCATCCCTCAAATAAACAACCCATGTCAAGCAAAAGAGTTCAAGCCAAGCTGGGGAAATGAAAACAAAATGAGATGTTTCTCCTGGACAAAGTGAGACCCGCATGAGCACTACTGATTGGGTGGAAATTCCAACGAATTCAGAACTTGAGTGCGCCCCCCCCCCTCACTTAGCACCACTGTTGTAATTACAGCAATCAAGTGACCCGATGACAGTGGAAGCCGCCTTCTCCACGCTCCCCACTCCAGCTGGGAAATGACTTATTTTCTTTACCTATTGACTGTTGGGCTTAGCTGAGACCTGGTGTGGATTTCTCGAGCCTTTTCAAGAGCCTGGTCATTGAAAAGCTAATCCAATATTTACCGAGAATAAGGACAGTTCTCAGACGTATTTATTAGGGCCATGGCTAAGTGATTTCTTGGACTGAAGACAAAAGGCCAGGCAAGGGCGTCCAGGCCCCGGCCCTGCCCCAGCGGGATCCCAGAACTCAGGACTCCCACGAGGGGCTGAGCTTGCTCCCGGTGCTCAAGTGGCGAGTGGATTAGATATTGTGCTGGGTGGTATTTCAGGAAATATGTACTTGTGGCTCCTGAGAGGCCAAGCGCAGTGACACTCTAAACTGTGTCGATATATCATCTTTTATCCAGGATCTGCAAATAAACCCCTGATCCCCTCGGCGCATTATAGCCGCCGCTATCTCGCCGAGGAACAGATCTGAGTTTTATTGCTTTCACCAACGCCCCAACCCACACACACACACACACACACACACACGCATGCACGCACGCGCGCGCACACACACACACACGCACACGCATACGCACACACACCTTCCCTCTCCCACCAACTCTGGTTTAAAAGCTTTATATTTCCCCTCGCGGGGCATCGTTATTAAAAGAGGCGAATAGGCCTCAGCGCCGCCGTCCGAGCTAGCTGGGAAGCGCGTAGAACCGCGTCCCCTCCACGTGGGCCCAGGCGAAGAAGCCTTCGTGCCCTGCTCACCGCCGCCGCCAGGGGGCGCCCGAGGCAGGCTCTGCGTGCGGGTTTCCCAACTGCGACCCGGCGACACCTCTGAGGTCCGGTGTCAGAGCCTGGCGGAGACTAAGGAGCAATTGGGGCGCTGAACCAGGTGAAGCTACGAGTCGGGCCTCTGCGGGGGCTCCATCAGGCATGGTGGACCCCCTATCTGGGTTATAATCCCCGTTCCTCCCAATTTAGGTGCCACCTGCAGTCCCCATTCGCGCTGTTGTCCCATGAGGCCTAAACCTCAGCAAGCTGGTGCTGTTGCCAAGAGCGCCCTGGCCTATGCGTCCGCCTGGAGGACGCTTGGGGCAGGCGGGGCACACAGGGTTCAGATCCCCAGCTGTTGAGAACAGGGGCAGGCTATCGCGGCCCAGGTTTATGGGGGCTAGGGAGGTGAGACCCTCGCCCTCTGTGCACCTTGGAGTCGGGGCTCAGCTTCTCCTTGTCATCCCCAAGTCCAACCCGGCGACAGAGCAAGCACGACCCGCCCCCCCCCACCCGAAATCCCGCGCGGACTGGGCGCT